AGTTGGGGGGAGGGGGGTGGTATGTGTGGGGGGGTGTGTGCCCTTGTAACTGTAAAACATCTTTCTCCATGGGTGTTTCAGCTTCAATTGACCAATCACATAACAGTTATATGTTTGGGGGGGGGGGAAGAAAAGTTTCTAAAAATGTAGCCCATTTCCATACATGGGTATGAAAGCAGAAAAGTGGAGGAGGCAGGGATATCTCATTGACAAACACCTTTGCCAGTTTATTTGTATTCGTGATTTTTTGTGCTATTAAATGCAGTATTACAGAAAGAAAAGCCCACATGGGCTAGTGAAAGGAGACGGTATAAGGGGGCTTGTATAAGGGGAGCAATTGCTCCGAGAATAGAAAAGACAAATGCTGTAAGATAAGCAACCAACACAGGCAGGCCTCAGCTGAGAGTATGAGTATAGTGTGTGAGTGTTTTTTTTTTTTTTAAGCTGTATGATATACTTGAGCAAATCAATGAACCTCTTTGCAATTGTTTTCTCATTTGTAAAATGCAGATAATACCTACCTTAAAGGGTTAATGTTAAAGATTAAATGATAAAAAAATGATAAAAAATGTGTCAAAGTATAAAGTAAAAGGCTTGGAACTTTGTAGGGACTCAGTAAACATTTGTTGGATCTGAATCTGAAACTTCTTTGGAATGGGCCCTGAATGCATCAGAGGTGAGGGTCAGTCCCACCTGAGACCCATGGAGAGAAAGGACACACATGATGTCACATGAAGTCACACACGTGTATTCATACACATTCTTAACTCCCTCCCAACACTCTATTTAAAGCCCCAAGGCAATAGATTCCACTATTATCCCTTGTATACAGGGCATCAGGGTTGGTATTACACTCCAGGTTGGAGGTGAAGGGGAGAAGCCACAACTGCCCCCCAATGGTCATTATTCTGTCCATTTGGAAGATAGTCATGTCATTTTCATGACTCAGCACTCTAGTATTGGGACTTGGCAGTGAGTGGGTTGCCAGGCTTCCACACGAGGGTATTTGGTGGTCTTTACCTTCTAAAAGTGTTAAAGGTTTAGCTGCTATGTTTACCCACAGGCATAGATTAGTAGAAAGACTGTTTTCCAAAACTCACTGGTCCTTCAATATTGATAGAATATTGATATTGATATAGGAATATTGATAGAGTGCCTTGCTGGCCCTTTTCCTGATCCTGACAGGACAGAGCAGCCTGTAAAGCACTAAGCCACAACAGATGGAATGAGCTCAGGGTGGAGAAACACTGTGAGTCCCTCTCTCCTCACATCAGGTACAAAAGGAACTGTTACCTAGAAGATCCAAGGGGAAATTGAACGTGTGTCAGATCCATGGGGCTTACATCCCCTGTCTCTGGTAAAGGCTGGGTTTACATGGCTTCCCAAGTCTACTTCATGGTCAACTAATTTGGAAATATATATTTACTATGTGGTTATGCATACATCCCCAACTAGTTCATAGGCTTATTTAGGACAGGGGTTATGTCTCCACTTAGACCCTGAGCTGCATCATTAAGCCCCTACCACAGTTCCTGGCATGCAGTAGGTAGGTATTTTGAACTAACTGCAGAATGGATAAATAAATGAACTGATACACCTTCCTTTCATAGCCAAAACTTTATTAACACCCAGGACCCATAATCCTTAGAGAAAACAAACATTGCTATTTTAGGTATGTTGTAGGATGAGGGAGATAGAGCTGGATAGCCTTGAATGCTACTTGGCAACTTCATCCAAGGTGCCTGGCTACCTTATGGAATGTATCTGGTAGCCCTACTTGGGAAGACAGCCACATCCACATTCATCTCTGCCACGGGAAGAGTTCAGCCAGGCAGAATATGCTGCCACCAGATTCTGACTGCTTGGACAGAAACTCCTTTAAAATTTGAAAACATCTTTTATTTGAAAATAATTTCAAACTTACAGGAAAGTTACAAAACTTTTTAAAAAGATAACATTCCTGTACCCTTTGCCCAGATTCACCTGTAGTTAGCATTTTGCCTCCTTTGTCTTATCATTTACACATGTGAACTCTCATAAATGTGTATTTTTGAACCATATGAGGATAAACTACATCATGGCCCATCATTCCTAAATCTCCAACATGCGTTTCCTAAAAATAGGCATATTCGCTATATTACCACAGAATAACTTCAGAAAATTTAACATTGATACAATACTTTGCCATTCATACTCCAATTTTGTCTGTTGATTCAATAATGGCCTTTATAGAATTTCCCCCCTGTATTATAGGATCTGGTCTAGGGTGAGGCATTGATTGCATGTAGTTTTCACATCTCTTTAGACTCCTTTAGTCAAGAACACTTTCACAACCTTTCTTCATCTTGTATAGTGTTCACATTTTTAATGAAACATTTTTCATTTGGTTTTTTTCTGATACAGAAACTTGTAAATACCCTGCACTTGGGACCAGCAGATGGCATAATGTTTATGTTGCTGGACTCCCATGTAGTTGACCACAGTTTGAGTCCTGGACCCAGTGGCTTGAAACTCATGCTGGGTGCGTGTGTGTGCATACCCCAAAACCTGAGGAAAATGGAGGAGAAGGGATTGTGGTGTGACCATCCCCCCCGGGGGGGGGGGGTGGTTTCCTGCTTTCTTTCTCTCTCTGTCTCTCTGGTGAGCACACATGCCCTATAGGAAAAATCTCTCTAAAAAAAAAATAATAAATAACCTGCACTAAGTAACAGTTCTAAAAGGAACTCACTGAAAGGTATGAATGGCACCAGGTTATTGAAGCAGATTCTTCCTGTCACTACTGGCGGAAGGCACAGACCACCAGAGGGAGCAGCTGTATCTGGCACTTCTTGATTGAACCTTCGACCTCCATTATTTGAAAAACACCATTATCTCTCAGCAGCAGAACCATTCAAGTCCAACCCTATGCTTCTACCAGCCACCAAACCTCAAATCAAGCCATAGAATGTAACAGCGGTCAGGGCTTGTTTTCAGATTACATCACCTTGGGACCCAGGGCATCATATAAAGTATGTGTTAACCTTCAACTCAGACTGAAATTCAGGCATATTTGAGCATGTCTGGTGCATGGTTGGCAAGGCTTTTAGGGTGATCAGGAGACAGCACCTTTGACACCTTCACCAACATTTTATGGTGGATACAGAAGTTGCAGTTGTGTGGGGTGGAGAGCAAAGTGCTAATTACTTAAGCAGCTTCATAGGCAGAGGACACAAAGATGTGCCCCAGAATAAGCAAGGGAAGACATGGGAGATGGTGTAAATAGATTGCTTTGTGGCCTATGGGGGACTTTCAGACACAACTTTTACATGCAGGCTGGAGTTCCTATGGAACAGATGGGGGCACGAGCCAGTGAAATTTTAAGATAATTCTTAAATTCCATCTACATCCACAAGCTGGCAAGGCCAGAGAGGCTCAGTTTGTATGTAGATTTATGATCTGGGCCTAGAAGGGCACATGTAAAAGATGGGTGCCCATAACTGGGACTCTAACCACCCAAAGAGGTCAGAATGAGGGACCAAACAATAGAGCATTGTCCTCTCACCTGTCACTGCACATCCTTCTCACAGTTTCTTGGCCTAAACTGGTTTGAAACTCAGCACCATGAGGCTGGCTCTGCAACACAGTGGTTAAGTGAACCAGATCCCACATAGCTGATTGTGGTTTGAATCTTGCCTCCTGAAAAACAAGCCAAGCACGTGTGTGTGTGTGGCCAAAATACCAACAAGTTGCAGGAATGGAGGAGAAAGGATTTGGTGCTTTCTCTCTCTCTCTCTGGTAAGGGCACACACCCTCTGACAATTAAAAGAAATTTTAGCATCCTGTCACTTCCTAGTTCCTAGAGTAGTCAGATGCTGAAACTGTGGCCTACAGGTCACATAGATGACTGCCTCACTTCTTTACTATTCACAGGTGATCTTGATCAGAGAGGCCATCAATTGAAAGGTACAGAGTAGTCCTCATACAACTCATATTGTCATAATGCAGTAGACCTGGTGCCAGGAACCTGTGTGTTTGCTCCCAATGTATATTTCACACCCCAAAGTGAAGTCCCAGGTCCTCTGAGAGAATGTAGCCCACTACACACAGCAGTGTGTCATTACACACTTACTGTCCTCTGAAAGTTGCCCAGTGCCATTTAAAACTTTTGTATTGCAGTATATCAAATATATAAGAAAAGTATACATATCATGTATAACTTGATGAATTTCTACCAAATGAACACATCCCTGTAAACAGCATCCAGATCAATAAACAAAACATGACCAGTAACTCGAAGGCACCTATCCTTATTTATTTCACTGTAAAATAGTGTCATTTGTCTTCATACCTCATGTAAATGCAATTGTTCAGTATGTACTCTTATGTCTGGCTGCTTTGGTTCAATATAATTTTATGAGCTTCAGGCTGCAAGTTTTTTTTTTTTTTTAGAAAAATTAGAGATAACTTCATTATTTCCATCTAATGAACTGGGAGTAGGAATTCCTACTTTTCCCAGTAATTTCTGACATTGAGTTAATTCAAAGGGCCATTGCAAAGTAGGACCTCAAAAGTGTGTATAATCTCATGTACAAGAATATGGTGGATGGAGGTGCCAGGTAATGGTGTAGCAGTAACACAACTAGACCCATGTGGGAAGTTTCAGGGTTCCCATTCAGGAATCTACCTGTACACACCAAGCAATCATGTGTACCGGTGATCTGCACCAGCTGAGAGGGACTCAAGCCATAAAGACCCTGTTGGTGGGGAGGGGGTGCTTTTTTCTGTTTCTCTCTCTCCTTCATGGAAGAAATAAGGTTTTTTTTTGGGGGGGGGAGGGAAAGAAAAGAAAATGGTGGATATGAAACAGTCTTTCAGAGAAGCTTGGGTTAATTTAAACACCCAAAAATGTTAACTTCA